ACAAACGGCAAAATTGAAAATGTTTCAGACTAGGTCTAATTGAGCCTGTTCATGGAAGTACTGTAAAGTGTAAGCTACTGTCCATGCCCCTTAACACAGGCTAAGGCAGTATCTACATTTAATCATGTTATGATAAAATTTTGAATTTAGAAACAATCGCAGATGTTATCATACGGCGGTGATTCATACAGGGTAGCAAACCAATGCCTACATCCACAGCAATTTTTTATTGTTATTCATTTCATTTTTTTTTTTATCTAAGTACGGTAAAATAGAATATGTTCAGAACTTATAACCATAGAAAGTTATTTCTTCTTCTTTTTATTTTATTGACTTTATTGAATTGAGTTAGGAAATAACGGATATTCTTCTGTAAATACATCACATGTCTTGTCCCAATTCTTTTGTTTTACGTTAGATAACGACTACAGACTTATGGTAAGAGAGAATTCTGTTATCATTAAAGCATGATTCTATGTTGGAAAAGGAATAAACTTAACTACTTAATTAATAAATATAAAGGTTGGAAATTGAAAGAGAAAGGAAAAAAAAACTGTTAAAAACAAATATTCCATACCGTTCAAATAATTCGTACTTTTAGAATATTTCAAGGACCAGGCACTCATTAAATTAAGGTGTATTTGTTTGCTACTGTAACTTAATGTATTACTAAAATATTGCAGTTATCAACATTAAGATCTTTTTTAAAAAAGAGATAATTACTTTGACTATCAGTGTTCCCACTTCTATCTTTCTTTAGGGGTATTTTTACCCCTAACCTTTGAAAACTTAAAATAACAATTAGGGGGTATACAAATTTGTACAATATATGACGTATGCTCAAAGTGCAAAAAGTGTTTAATATCTCGTGGTTAATATGATGAAACAAAAAGCACTTAAACTTCGTTACAAGAAGGAAATAAAATCAACCTAGAATACAATAGAGAAACGTGGCAAATTTTTAGTTTGACTTTATTCATGTAATTATTTCTGACATTCAATAGTTGATGTAAGTTTCAAAAAATATATTTCAGATATTTCATTTAAATGACATTTTATTGATAAGATTTCCCACAACCCCATGGTAATAGCGACGCTATGGCTATACTTAGCATAACCTCAAAATGTGTTAAGGTTAACGAACAAGGGTCACCACTGGAAAAAAACAACTACTTTTTCATGCACCACCCCAAAATAAGCACTAACGCTTTAGGGGGTGGTGCAATATAGGAAATAGCAGGCAAAAGTAAATAAGCAAACAAACAAACAATATATATCAGCAGTTGAGTTACATTGGGCAAAGAGTGGTTAATCGGATCTGTGTGTATTTTACTCTAACAGCGTTTATTTATCTTTCACTGCAATAAAATGCTGAATTTGCGTGGGAAGTCGCCTACAACAGCACCAGTGACGAATATCGTCAAAGTTGCATTTTAATATATGAATGATCGGCAACTATCAATTAGTCTTGGCACATGTAAATTATTCTTGTATATAACATTGAACTGCATTGTACAGAAGGCACTGCCCATGGACCTGACCGTCAGTTCAAAGAAAAAAATCTGACAAAAGCAATGATAAATATCTAAGAATTGTTGTGGTGTTCAACCTTAATGTCTTAATCAATTGAACATTGTATACACAACGCTCTCTCGCATAGTAAGACCGGTGTACACAATGTCAATTTAATTATTTCCTGTACAATCGGAACATCCTCGACTATTATCTTTAATAACCCCGGAGGTAATACGGATTAAAGTAGATCTACTACGTGGTTTCAAATGTAAACAAACTATAGAGTGTAATCTTCGTTAATGTAAGACAAATATTTATATTTGATATCGAAAGGAAAATTAAGTCTGTTTCATACAATTATGATTGAAAATATGCCTGACGACCATCTTAAAATGCCAACTGATGTACAATGTTTAACGAATCCAACTAAATATCAACAGGTTGGCATTTTGTACTTTCGGATTCTACAACCATTATAATAAATATATAAATAATGTATTGTTTTCTTTTGTTTATTTTAGATGAACTTTTACTTGATATATTGGAAATAAACTGCCAACAACTCCAAGCATTAAATTACTATTTGTTTACATGTTAAATTTCTTACCGCAATACCATACACGTTCTGTGTATTCATCCTTGTATTCGAAGACTGTCGGAAATGGCCGATAAGTTGCGAATGATACCAGTAAGGTGGGCCATTTCTGTTGTTTTCTTGACCGACTAATTAGGTGAGTTAGTTTTTTTATGGCTCAATATACTTTTGGAGGTATACGGTGGTTCTACTAAGTTACCAGGTCATGTAGGAAATATATGGACAATGGGGCATCTTTAGATTTTCTTCCACAGGTAAATCTAGAAAGCCGCCACATGACACATTATTTGCCATAGAAAGTGAATTGCAAGATGATAATAATAATAATAATAATAAGGTGGCTTTAAATAAAGTAATTTGATAAAATTGAAGGCTGTTGAATTTGACTTTCAAATGATCTGTGATTTAATCCATCAAAATTTAGTCCAGCATATTTCATTATATTGTCTTATTTACAATGGTATATGATTGTCCAAACATTAGCATGTATAAACATATTCTCATTCGCGATAAATTATTACTTATGATAAGATGTGCAATTCAATAAATTTTCAATTGTTAAGACAATGCCTCGTTTTCAATATAAGGTGGTTATAAAGTTGTTAATGTTATGTTATTAATGCTGTTTTATTATCATGTGCTTTGTGCTATAGAACTGATCCATCTTTTGGCGAATATCTTATATGCATGTCATATATTAATCATTTGATATAAACCTGCTTGTATATACAAAATCGTAGATGCCTTTAGCAGCCACTATTGTATTTTTTTGAAATCATCAATCATCCATTATAGGGTTAATATCAAAATCTTGCAAGCTGAGAAGGATCGTGACTTAGATGGGGCCCCCATGACCAAATTGGTTATGTCTGCAACTTTTAATCTCTTCCATCAACAGCTGTTGGTTAAATCCAGCCATAGACTATGAATCCTACCATGTGAAGAAGCTATCGAGAATTTTCTCAGGTCTTATATATAATATACTATCAGTGTTTTCATTCTAAATATTACAAAACTATCACATTCTCCCATTCTAAAATGCAATTGTATTCATTCTATTACAGTGATTTTTATTTTTATTCTACTGCACATATGCTTAAATTATTGCAATGGTTTCACTTTACTAATGGTTTAGGTATATTGTTGTTTTCTCGCTTGTCCAGTTTGGCAATGAGGTATGAATAAAAAAAAAACTGCTCTGCACCGGCGAGAACCCGGGTTACCTTTGGAAAAGGGAAAAACTGTATTATGCACTACTCCAAAAAATATCAACTAACTTAGGAATATGGCAAAATTAAATTATATCTTACGAAGGGTTGTTAATCGAATTGCTTTGTTTTGTAGTCATACAGCAGTTACTTCCCCTTCACTACACAGAAACGACAGCCGGTGACAAATATTCTTCGACTTGAACTTGGAATTTTCCGTATATACCAATCATTCTTGTGCATGTTTATAACATTGAAGTATCCTTTAATTTTCACTGACGGACAAGGGCAAATATTTATGCATATTATAATAGTGCACGTTTATAACGTCGTTTTCAAAGAATAACTGTGACGTTTTTATACTTTTATATACACGGCTGCTGTCGATGAAGAAATCTCACTTTTTCTAAAAAAAAGAAGATGCTTGCAGTATAATAAATTTGTTATACATCTGTCTGACAGTTTATATGGCCGTTCATAAACGTTGGTTTGAATATAATATATATTATAAACTACCGTTTATATAGGGCCATATAACCTGTCAAAAATATTTAAACTTATAATATAAATGTATTTATATATACACAGATAAGATTGCTTTTGTCCTTTCTCTATTTCATGTCTTCTATACTCTTGAAGGTCGATGGTTCTGCTTGCCAGCTCCTGCATGAAATATTGCATATAAGGAAACTTTAAGTTTTTCTTCCACCTACCAGAAAAACATAAATGTCGCTTATGCCTTATAAGGGAGAGTTTCAACACATTAAAGTTAGGTAGACAAAATAAAAGAGTTTTGAGTTAAGTCTTTTTTATTTTCAAACTATTTGTGATTTGACATTTTAAGATTTTAGCCAAGTGATGCAATGATTTTTGTTGTCATATTGTTGTGGTTGTTGTTTCGTTATTTTATTTAAATTATATCTACATTACTAAATATATATCAACATATTATCATTCGTTTAATATTTACATCACCATCCGTTATCCTATTGGCGTTTTTCTCATTTCCTTTAAGCAAGGAATACGGTCAGATTCAGCCAAATCAGAGTTGTCTTCTAGAACTAGTCGTACCACGTCTGTATATATTTCAAGATGACCAATTTCAAATAAACCTGCTGATCCGAGAATATTTGACTAACAAAGTGCATTGGGTCACAGTACATTCAGTGAAATTTAGAGATAAGAAAAGAAAATCTGAGATTTCGTTGAGGTCTGCTATATATGTATGTGAAAAGGAAAGAAGCGAAACATGCGGCAACGTTGATGCTTAATGCATTTAATATTAGACTTATCTCATTTTAAATATGTGAAGTTGTTTTATTTCAATTGTCTAATGCTAGGGCATGTGCAATAGACAGCTATAAGGTTACATTTTAAAATATAGGAACGATCTTACATCCTATTTTTAGGCACATTATACGTAAATATATTATGAATTGATAGAGCTGCTTGTTATGCCCGGTAATGGGTCAACAAGTACAATTAAAGCTTAATGTTTTACCAAATATGACCTTTGATTTTGACCTTATTATTTGATATAAACACACATACGAAAAACAAACTATTGTATACTAAATATGACCTTTATTTTTGGAAACAACATACATTTATAACTAAATATACGAATACGAACATTTTATTCAGTATTAAACATGTTAAACAATGTTTATAGTCTATACAAATCCAAAGTACAGTTTGAACAAAAACATAGAAAAAAAGAAAAGTAAATAACAAAATGCTATTTTTACTTTATAAATCATACAGTTATCAGAAAAGATTGTGTAAAGAAACGTTATTCTAATTTAAGAAAGAAAAAAGTAAGTAAAATGAAACATGACGGTAATCTTTAAAGTCAAATTACTACATTCTTAATATGCCGTTTATCTTTCATAAAAAGCAAACATATAAAGCAAACTGTTGCATACTTAAAACGACCATTACCTTCGATAAAAAAAACATGCATATAAAACAAAATGTTATATACTAAATAAGAACGTTATCGAAAAAGCCATTTTAACAAACTATAATACACTAAATATGGCCATCATTTTTCATAAAAACATACATTTAAAACCAAACTACTACAAAATAAATATGACGTTTACCTTTAGAACTACGGTTCTTGCGTGAACGAGAAAAAATGAAAAGGGCTTTCTGTTTCTACCTTATCTTTGATACTTTGAAGTATAACAAGGGTTGTATTTTTTATTTTAAATACACGTGTACATGTGTCATATAAAATTGTAATTAAAAAGGGGTAGAATAAGGCCAATCTGCCCTATTTATAGGTAGCGTCTTGCATTCATATCTATAAATGTTGGCAGCAGTGCCAGCAGTAATAAGATACATGCATTCTAAAACATTTTTTTTTTATCAAAAGGATTAAAGAACCAATCATTTTCATACAAAAGCCACATGTAAATAAAAGCCAAAGTGTATGTTATTGTCTTTAAGCTGTAGCTTGGAACCGTTGTGAGTTCGTAACTAGAGTTCTGAAGTCTATCCGGCTATATGTTTACTCGTCCAAATATATCTACATGTTAAGTCGATGATGTTAATTAATCTGATGCTTTATTTACCATGTCAAGTGAGATAATACGGTAATGAGACATTATTACATAATTATACCAAATAAGTAATATCAAATGTCTTTAAACTAGTTCATGAATGTAAAAGGTTTAATAGCTATCCATGGTATCGCTTTTCATTTGTTTCATAAACATGTTTGATAACATTTAACAATTATATTACATCCTATGCAGTAAATAATGTGTTTATTTATGGAGTAAAACTCCGGAAAATGTGTTCCAATAGTCTGGAGAAGAATGGTAAATTACAGTTCCAGAGCTACTTCTAAACGACTGAACCCACACACTCTGTCCAGCTTTTAACACAGCGACAGTGTCAGCTGTATGACAGTCGAGATCATCGTTGTCTTTAATGTATGTCTTAGTGTATGCTACACCATCAACCATTATATTCACGTACAAATATTTGTTATTGAGCACACATAATGCTATGGTAAATAGATATGTCCCGTTTGTTGTGGCCGTAAATTTCCCTGTCTGACTGCTGTAGACATCTCCTTCATTGAAGAGTACTGTAGGAAACACTATTACTTGACCTGCAGGAGCGGCAGCGTTAGCATTTAGTCTTGCCTTGAATGCCACAGTTGGTGTCACAATCTGATCTAAAAAAGCATCCAAATTAAGGTTTACAAAATGATATTTTAAAAATGAGGATATTGAATGAGTGCACACTTCGGCGAATTGCTAAATCAAATCTTGATTAAAATATAGATAACGATTAATGCGTCTAATTTCATTTATTGCTTGTATGCAAACTAAACTTTGTTGAAATTTATTTACGGGAACAAGCATAATGGAGCTGGTTTACATGGTCACCCATTAAATAAAAACTGCAAAATGAAACTATATAATATATGACTTTGTTTTAAAACTATGTTATGAATTTCAGCTTGATACGACAATCATAGAAGTGTACCTATTCTTTATTTGAACAAGTATCTTTATATATGTACTTAAATTAGAAGATACTATTGCGGAATTCAAGACTACATAATGATTATGATGAATAACACCCTAAGTTCCCTGAAATAAGGAATAAGCGACTGGGCTAAACAGGTCCGAGTCCGATATAACGAGGGTGCCTTGAGGTTATTGACCACTCGTGGTTTTATTTATTGCCTATATTCGCACACATTACCTAACAATATAGATAAAAACATGATAACATCAATATTTTTACGACAGATTGGGGGCATTCTGTGCAGCTCATTCTTAGAAAGTACGATATTTTACATAAAAGACAACCAATTAAGAACGCATTTATAGTAAATATTACAATCACCATGCCGTGCTTGATTAACGTAATTGTTTTAACTATATTCCCACGTGCCGTTTCGCGTGGATAATTTTGAATGCAAATACATATTTTTCTTTTATTTGAATCATAGGTTATCGTATTCAATACCTAAATAACCATCTTTATTTAGATTTATTTATAAAATATCTCGCAAAATATTATGATTTGTAAAATCGCCAATTAGACACTCGTTGAAGTGAATATCAAAATCTAAATCTTTTGAACGAGTTGATAAAACTCATATTGAGTGAGGTTCTGGCACTTTTTTCCATTTACGCGTCTGTTATAGTGTAACGCTTACTTTAGCGCACGCTATGTTACATTACACAAAATTAATAACTTCTCGCCAAATTTCGTTTTCTCATATATCCGTGCCGGTATAGCGACTCCGTGAAATATATTTTGACCTGACGACATTTGCTTTAAGACTTAAATCTAATGTTAGCGTAATACGGAAGGCGCGTAATACTAAAGGGGCGTCAATGAAAGTGGTATTTATTCACTTCAAACGGTGGTTATTTCTGGTATGTGATAAATAGAATATCAAATTTTTGGTATGTGATAAATAGAATATAAAATACGTCTAAGTTCATTAATAAATTTATTGAACTCGTTGCTATGAATAATATTGATAAACATGTATTACAATTTTATACGTCTCGTTCAATTCATTCAGTATTGAACTTACACTCAATACTCTATCTATTACACTGTTCCGTGGTTTATGTTTAATTTTCGTTTTAATAATTAAACATTAGTATAATAGCATGACGCCAAGGAAGGACAAGAGATGATGCTGTGTATTATTTTCGCTGTTATTTAATTTACGGTTAAATTAATATTTTATAAAACATTATTAAACAAGTTAAATAAAATCATATTATTCGAGCCTCTGTCATGTCATATTATTTTCAATGTCTATACTGTGTTACTTAATCATTATACACAGCACTATTACTTGTCTTACCTTGACATCAAGACATTTTAGTCATAGGGCGTACGTTGCCGAGTGATTAAGGTCGTGCACTTAAAACCACTTTCCCTTCACCGTTTTATGTTTGATTTGCGCTAGGATCGAATTCTTTCATGTGAGAAAAGCTGACGGTACGTCTGTGGTTCTACTGAGGTGCCCGTCAGTGCCTTAATTAATACACAACTAAGATATTCCATTTGTAAAGCTGGTTAGTAAAATAATTATGGCCTTTATACTGTAATTGTAGAACGAGCCCCCCTCCCCGCCACACATACACAAACAAAAAATTTAATAAAATCTAAAGGAATGTTCGGAGACCGACGACACGTATTTGCATTTTTTTACTCAATCCTTTTTAATAACTTATATTATAAATCAACATTCATGTACATATCTTACATGATTATATCTGTGTAGACATTAACTATGAACTACATAACAATGGTATGTGCTTGAACAGTCATTTGAATGAACCAAAATTTATTTTACTAATAAGATTTACCTTTTAAAATTTGCAGTTCTTTTAATTTTGTATCAATGATCTCTGACGTTTTGTTTTGTAGTGCTTCGATTGTCTCACCAAACTTTTCCTGTGTTGTTTTAATGCTTAACGAGTGTTTCGCCTGTTTTTCAACCATTTCATTCAGTTGTCGGTCAACACTTTTCACTGTTTGTTCCATTTCAGATTTCATTCTCTCCATTTGAAATTCCATGCGAACCATTTTCTCTAAAACTTTCTCTTCAAAATCATATTTTGAACAATGTGGTTCCTCTGACTTTGCATATGTTAGTAGGTAACTCAAAAAGAAAATTTTACAAAATGAAATTCTCATTTTTATTTTCAAAGTGACACAAATTTAGTTTCCAATGCCTAAAAAAGAGCCTAGTATGAGGGAAGCACTGGAAACATCAGTCTTATGTACCACAAATTTAACATCATGAGGGATGTATAAAAAGTACAGTAATTGTTTATTAGTTCATATGTGCTTTTCATATTGTAGTTCTAAAGATGAGCAAACAAAGTTTAATAGGAACATAGTTATGTTGAAAAGCATAAAAAACTGTTGAGAAATTCAATTTAATTTAATTTATTTTAAAGGCACATTATGCCTTTAGAAATCAATATTTCTCAATTCTTTATATATCTCAAATTTGAGTTTAATAATGTGTTGATAATGGATTAAGAGCATGTTTGATGTTGAACAGCTGAAAAAATAACGTTGAATGTAAAGTTATGTATAGTAAAAGAATGTATCGTAAACATAGGAAAATTTAAACAATATAGTATCTTGACTTTCATACAAAATACTTATTCATTATAATAATTTATACCAATTGCCAAAACAGCAGTTTCTTTTAAATCGGAATGGATTTGGATAAAGACATGCAGTTTTAAACGTACGTTGATTTTCATTTTAAATTATTTATAATTAACTCAATATTTCTTTGACTTTTGTAATAGTTACTGCATAAATGCAAATAGTTTGTAAATGAATATTGCTACTTATATCTGAAAAAAAGCACACATTCCGATTGCTGTAACCAAGATAAAGAGGATTATAAATTCGAAGAATGCATGGGCGAAGTGAAGTTCATGAAAATTTTTCAAGCAAACTGATATTGACGAGGGAATTATGGGCGTACTATTATTCACGACGACTGCGTGAGAAAATATACATTCGTGAAGATTACGTAGACGAAATTATTAGATTGCACAGGCGAAATATTTTCTTCATATCAAACTTCGTGAGCCAAATAATATTTTTAAGGCAAAAGAAACTCGGGAAGACGGCGTGTCAAATTGAAATTTACGAAAGGTGCATGGAATAAACGATATTCATGGATAGTGCATGGCAGAAATGATATTCATAAAGACTGCAAATTAGATTAATTAAGAATGAATGGTCGGGCGAATGGGCGAAAAGACTTTTTGTTAGGCGTTACGTTTTACCATCACAGTATAAGTCATATGACAATTTTCCAGCTTTACTGGTGGAGGAAGACCTCATGTGCCCTTCCGGTCATTATTTCTTGCACGAAGGAGAACCTGATTAGAACCTGGGTAGAACCACCGACATTCCGTGAGCTAGCTAGATAGTTTCATTACATGAAAAAATTCAAAATCCCTGTTGGAATTCGGACCGATAACGGTTACGGGCAAGTGGTTTGAAAACAAGGACCTAAACCACTCGGCCACAGACGCCGGCAAAATGACAGTATTTCAGTCATTACATATTTCGATTTCTCAGGAATTCGACATGCTCTCTCACTTAAAATTCGCGTTTTGTTTTTTGTTTTTATATCACATGAACGTTTATGTGACCAGGGGCAACTGAAAAGAAAATATAATATATCAACCCAATATCTTTCGAGATTTTCTTAGAAACATGAAGCATTGAAATTTGCCGCGTCAATCTACGTATTGGTAACTTTAGGAACACATCCTTGATTACCAATAATCATAATAATCGCTTTCCGGACGGAAAGCGCAGAGAAAAGTTTAGTATCTTAGGATACTTACTTTTTTAATTACCCTCTAAATCATGGCAGTCTGCTCTCAATTACAGATGAAATGTTAGAATAACAGGATATGTAAAAGACGCTTAATATTTAATGAATATATCACGGATGTTTACGGCCTTTAAGATTTTGTAGACCGGAATCTTAATTGTAAAAAACAAATATCATAAAACATAAATCAGCCATGGCATAAATAACTTCTGCGTTTCTCACGGCACATTTTCCGTATGTCTGTTTTTTAAAGAAATAAAAGCAAGTACAGTTAAACCCTTGAACCTTTTATAGTACATAAAATATCATTATTATATTAAGAAGTGCTTCAGACAAGATAAAGCAACTTTATTGGATACTCGGAAAGAGTTCTACAATATCTCTACTACCACTGCTATTTTATTACTGCTGTTACTTAATTGGCTGCTATTTTAATTTAATTACACATTTCTACCCCGTTTCTTCTTTTTTGATGCATATTCTTTTTCTTCCCTTTTGATTGCTACCTACTTTCTACTTTTTGATGCATACCGCGTTTCTAACTTTTTGTTTACAACCCTGTTTCTACTTTTTTATTTTTACACCGTTTCTTCCTTTTTTGATTGATACCTCCTTTCTACTTTTTTGATGCATACCCCGTTTTTACCTTTTTGATTGCGACCTCTTTTTACTTTTTTATGTGTACCCCGTTTATTCATATCCCGTTTCCACCTTTTTTGTTTGCTACCCGTTTCTAATTGTTGTTCTCTTATTTTTAAAATTACATTTAAAAAATTACACTTCATTAGACTGGTAAGTGCATATATGAAGATGTGAAATAATTTTATTTGATTCTCGAGTTTGGAAGTTTCGTAAATCTCTAGGCGTGATGCTTAATACCCCCGGTTTACTCCGATCACATATGACTGGAAAAGAATTCATGCCATAATTATAATAAATATGAACAAGACAAGGAAAGTCAACTAAGATTTTAAGGGTTGTCTTTGGCAAGCTCGAGAGTGAGAATTCGTTTAAAAGTTGTTGACATTACGATTTAATTACAAGATAACATATATTTGCATTTCATGAGTTTTACAAATGCTTCGCTTACAGCTAGCAGAGATGACACAATAAACGACAGCCCGTAGGATATATTACGACCGACTATTTGTAGGCAGAATATGTTTGGAATTTTCGTCTGAGCTGTTAGCTCTTGAAATGAAATGAAGACGCAAACATAAAAATATCATTAAAAGAACTCATCAACTCCCTATCTAGACAGTAAAACTACTATGCGTCAATATTCTCGATGTGTCGAAGTAAAATGAATGTCCCGACTCCCCACATATATTTCTTATACAAACCCTTAATATGAGTCGAAATTTTATGTGTCGAATTATTAGATATGTCGACGTATTTTCATGGTCAGTATAGACAAAATCAAGTACAATTTACCACAATTTAGTCGTAGTCCTTCGAGTATTTTGACTTCATCGATTTCGAGACAGTTTTCACACCTTTTCTGACCGCGAAGATTATTTCCGATCAACTGTGTGACAGGTGTTAATTACAGCCATCTAACAGACTTGAAATGAGTTCACATGTGTGATAAAATGCTTTAATTGATAACATTCGAATTGCCGTAATGTATTAAGGACTACTTTTATTTGAGAAATTCAATGACCCGGTGTCCAAGATATTTTAACTATATACTGGTTAAGTTATCCCCCTTTCCTTTTATTACGCCTTTTGTAACTTGCTTGTAAATGTGAACGGCTCGAAATTTTGTAATTTTATTAAAATCGATTCATGAGCAGCAGTCCCGATGTGTCGACGTTTTTTTTATGCCAGTACCTTAAAGTTCGACCTACCGAAGTTCCACTGTATTTACATAAAAAATGTTTGCAATTTGCATGAAAAATACCGGCAATGATTTACGTTTCTTATCAGCATGTCAAGCACTTAGTATTGACATTGAAGTAGCATGCCTCCTGATTCATACTTCATGATAATTTTGAAAATGCATTCAAAACTTGGTAAGGTGAACTAAGATAGTAATTCACACATTGCAACCGGCACTTGCAATACCAAAAAAATCCAAATATGCAAAAAGCACAACAAATTACTTAATTAGTCACACAGTAGAAACATTCAGATAAATACTGCAAGATCAGTCTTTAATCGAATTTAACATGAAAATGAATCCAGATATTTTTCTTATTAAAATCTCAACAAAAAAAAAACTCAAATTTTATTGTCTTGGAATATTTTGGCTCAAATGGGACATGCAGCTTTAAGAGAGCAAAAATGTATTTTTTTGTCTGTGTGAGTAGGTTTTAAGTCATGCGGGCTATTAAAGTAATATAATGATTAATTAGTTTTAATGGTGACGGATGTGTAAGTGCATGGGAAAACATTCTCACAAGTATGCAGATGAAATTCTTGTTTGGAAATTAGTGACAAGTGGCTTACAGTCAGTAATATAATTCACACAGTAATGAAGGGGGTAATACAGTTTGAACAAAGTGTCAGACATTCGGTCTCACAAACCCTTGAATTTTGTCAGACCGGCAAAAATCTGTCAGACCTACACATTTACAGCGATATGAAAACAAACAAGATATTAAACAACATTTCCTCCTTTATTTCAATAACCTTCAAATTAAACTAAATCCCTGTTATACAGCATCAGTTTATTTAAGTTTAACAGGTTATCCTGAAAGACTATCCTCCTGATCTGCATTGCACAGGATGTCGTCTTCACTGTCAAATTAAACGTATGATAATTCAGGATCTTCGACAGCAATAATACGAAAATTTGAACATCCAGATTTAAATGTATTATTTCTTAACTTTTCTTGATTTTTAACATTTTACCGGCACTGTCGTAGAAACTTATAGAGAAGATAGAGTGCATTTCGTTTTTTAACAACGTCATATATCAGCTTTTCCCGCCCTTTCTTCCATTTGCGTCAAATCTTCTATCAGGTCTGTTTTTATACTCTTTTTTTTTTCTTTCTCACCTTTCTTTTTCCAGGCACTGTGCCTTCGTTAAACTTCAAGCATGCTGCACTGTAAATGCCAAATGTACGGCTATCAGCCATTGGTCTTTTTCACGATATTACCAATGAAAATAGTTTTTACAGAACGCGATTTTAAAAAAAGAGAAATCACGCTAGCGTCAAACGAATGAGGAAGTCATCAATATTTTTCTCCCTTGTCCCTGAAAAAAATAACGGACAGTCGGACTAATTTAATTTAAAATGTAGTCGGACCGTGTAGAAGCAGCTATTTGGTGTAACTTCGAAGGGCTATGTCTACTTTTCTCAAAACAAAAGGGCCAAGATGGCCCTAGATTGCTCACCTGACCCATCATTTCATTGTAGTTCAAGCGATA